GGGGGGGGTGATCAGACTCTTCGTGGAAATTGGCAGTAATGTTCAGAAAAGTCTGCACACACACACACACACACACCGCTAATTTTATATCACACGTTGCAAAGGACACGAATGAAGCAATAAGTATATTATTGTCTTCTTCTAAAGACATTAGCCTCAGGCCACTTACACATTCATCGTTGGGTCCCTTGAATCTTGAGAAATCAGCCTTTGGAGAAGCCAATAAAAACATAATCATAGTTCAAATCCTCTCTGCCAAATCAATATCCAGCCTCTGTTAACCTGCCACATTCTCACCACTACGTTTGTAACTTCTGTGGACTCGAGTCAATCTCTCTCCTACAATAACTGCCCACCTCATTCTGATCTGATCGTACAGTTTTAAGGAAACAGTATCTCAATAGTGGTGTGCAGCTCAGCCGCTGCTTGTGCATTGGAAAATGTATGATTCATACTAAAAGGCAGCTACAGTAAGTATCATGTTTGCTGGAAAAACCGGTCGTGTCAGAAGAGTCTCTACTGCCAGTGACTAATAACAACACAGGCTGACCTATGCAACAACAACTCGTATGCGCTTTTCAGTGTAAATGACTGTGATTCATATCTACTGCAGGTGTGTGTGTGTGTGTATATATATATATATATATATATGTATTTCTGGCACGAAAGTGAAACTGTTATGACGCGACAGCCAGCTGAGAAAACTAGAACATATAATCACATCCACAGGGGTCCTCCTGTACCATCCACCTGGCTGCATGCAGTCAGAGATGCTGCGTGGACAAAAATTAACATACAAATAGATAACGTAAAAAAGATAGAACGGTCTGAAACATGAAAAAGTACTTTTTGCTAACGTGACATTTTACCGCCTACTTGCAAATAGGCGGAGAGTACCGAGTCATGTCTCACTTAACCCTGAACCAGGTTGAGACATGCACCTTTATCTGGAAATCTGTATTTCTTAGGAAGCAAACGCCAAGGAGTCTCTCCTCTACTTACAGGCTCAAGCTTCAGTAGCCAGCTGAGTTTAAAGACAACGCGTAATTCATCCATTAAGTTGTGTTTATATGCAAAACAAACATTAACATGAAAATAGGTTTTACCCATAAGCTTGATTTAATTCAGAATGAGCACACCTCACCTCAGGCTGTACACACACACACACACACACACACCATCCGAGCATCAAAGTAAGATTTCCATAATGTGGCCTAGATTCTATCACGTTCTCATTTCACAGTGTGCGAGTAATTAAGAATACAATTCAAACAACATCCCATTAAGAAATATGAAACGTTTTAATTTGTTCAAATTAACAAAACAATATTAAAATCAATGTGCATAGTAAAACGTGTAACGAGGACGTGTCATTTGAGGAAAAAGACAACTATCAAAACAAGGCTCAACAACATGAAGCCATGTTGCCCGTTGTTCATGGGGTTGAATGTAAAAATAGAGATCAAATATCGGTATCAAGTTCCAATATGATGCAATTCACTTATCCAATATTAAAGTGAGGTCATCCATCCACGTAGCGATCCATATAAATATGTAATAATGTTGGAGAATTGTCCTTCCAGCCGTGTTACGGTTACAAAGAAGATAGTTAGCCACACTAGCGTCTTTAGCACGGAAGTCGATGGAGATGAACCACATAAACAACACATTACTGTTAACGGGCCTGCAGTCTGTTTTATCACAGTGACTTCGTCTTTCAGCTCGTTAAAGAGGTCGGTGAGTGTCAAGTTGCGGTTCTCTCAATAAAGATTCATTCAAACGCTCACTAATGTGTCTATAAACTGACTGCCATTGGTTCTGTCCGTCAATGGCTCTCTTTAGGCTTTTTAAGCAGACGGTAGATTCAATAAACCACTCGACATTAAGGATACTTCTAGCAGGTATTAATAATCTAGTTTGCCACATATGAACCGCTATTCCTTCTGATTTTGACACAAAGAAACCTCTTGGCCTCGACTTTTATCGCTTGATGGAAATGGAATGTGTGCAGAAGACATCTGGTCACACAACACTATTTTGTAACAAAGCAGATTTAAGAAGCAGTCATTGTTTATAACTTATTTGATAGTGTAAATATATTCTTGAAGGAGTTGTCAATTAAGCAATGCACTCCTCTTTGAAAATCCTCATGACTTTTGAACTACTGTATACAAATCTTCTAGTATGTGATAATTGCTGTGCACTTGATTTGTTCAAGTTTTAAAAGAAAAGATTAAAAAAGGAAGAATTTGCACTCCGGCAGCTGTTCGGTTTAAGTTTGTATGTGAAGCCTACTTAACCTACAGTTCAGATAAATTGCCTTGGAATACATTTAGATTTGAATGCAAATGTTAAGCTAAACGTGCTCCGATATTAGAATTATATCTGCAGATATCAGGAATCAGGAATGAAAAGAGTGGCTTGTTATAGTCATGACCATATTCAACAGCATTGGTGCTAAGCTATATAGCACACAGCTCAAATATTTAAGACATATAGTTTCAAAAGCCAAAGTACTAAAATAAAGGTTCTATAAAAAGGTGTTTTTTACAATATTTATACTTAATTTTCCACTAAACAACCATTAAAACCTCATTGGTTCTATGAGGAGCACTTTTTATGTATGGTAAACAGCACAATGACACAAGCTTGAGTGTGTGTGTGTGTGTGTGGTTTCTGCCCATTTCAAATTGACACCTGAACTACTGGGGGGGGAGACCGTTTACATCCTTTCTGCAGTTCAACAGTAGTTAAAACCTTTGAAAACCATCAAAAATAATTAGGACTCAGATGCACAGTGGCACTCAGGGCCAATTGAATTGACGTACCACATCCAGCAGCCTCTAGATAGTGCATGAGCTGAATAACAAACATATCCACAAGCTTGCTTTGCCATTGGATGTTTCCCTTGTGTTGCTCACACTCACACACACACACACACACACACTTCAACCCAAGTAATGAAATATGTGGAGAGGAAACACAAAGTCGGCCTTGGCTGAGTGAAAGTCTAACCTGGCATGATGACCTGAGAGCAACTCGTTTTGGAAGCTACTATGCTGTCAAAATCCAGTGTTAGAAGTCAACAAATATTTTTTTGGTGTATTTCTATGAATTCATTCGGAGTCTAAAGCATGAAGCAAGAGTAAAGTTACAAGTGTAAAACAAACAACGATCAAGCCTTCCAACAAGTGGCACTTGTATCTGAAAATGAGCCGTTATGATGCAACTGTTATCGGATGATCTTCTTAAAATACGCGTAAAAAACTGATATCCAATTGCTGTCGATTGTGATATTTCTACCCACACCATGTTCACACTTGTTATACTATATTATAAATATACTATAAAAGCAAAGTAGCTGGAACTAACGTTAAAACACGTTGGGGAAATTCACGCTAACGTCAAGTTAACGTTACAGGCAAAAACCAGCCCCTTCCCAAATTAACATCGGTAAAAGATAAAGAGACCCTGTGGTCGATGACAACACATCATGTTTTTTTTTTTTATTTTGTCGTATGATTAAACAACAACATCGCTATCACAATGAAGTGTTTCAGGATTGACATTTGTGTCCCAGTAGCCGGTTACCGTCTTACAGCTAACGTTAAGCTAACCAACAGAAACGTTAGCTAGCTACCGGGCCCGTTTCTGTTTGGAGTATGTAGACGACGGGCCTTTTGTTAAATGATATCGCCTCCTACGCCGTTCAACCTTGATAAATAACTTCACAGCCCCACACTTAAGTAGACACCGTGTTCATGGAAACATGAATCCCTGAAAACGAGCAGACAGATGAGGAAGCTGGGAATCCAGTAAACTAGCCCCGTGCATCTATTCATAGCTAGCGCGAGAGAGATGCACCTGTTTTTATTCTAGGCGGAAACAAGCACCGAGCTGCTGCTGGGGCTGCTGGGACATCCACCCAAATACCTAGCTTACTCAAAATAAATATATTGCAGCTAACGTTGGCTCAGTTAGGAAGCACTGTTGATGCAGCTACAAACAAACAACCTCTACAGGGCAGTGCTAATGTGAAGCAGCTCCATCATTTTTTTTCCAAACACCTATAAGTCGAATAAGCGAACAAACGCTGTAGCCACCGGGTGGGTGCTAACTTAACAAGCTAACGTCGAGAGTGTGCAAATAAATAGCATGTTACCTTGTCCTGTATCAGCGGACCGGGCGTCGGTGCTAATTCTGTTAAACGAGCAGACTTGGCAAAGACGACGAGGGTGGCATTTTTTTTTTAACGATGCAACCGCTAAAACAGCGACATAACCCAACCAAAAATGCAAACTGACCTTGTTAGCGAGCTAACGTTAGCTAACTCGCGCCGTGATGTCTCCTCTTCTACCCGGAGAGCGCCGTGGAGACTTCCAAAATGCCATTAAACATGCACTTTCTCCACCTCCCCCATCACCACCACCCCTCAGCGCCACAGACGCATATCTTGCTTTTTGTAGAAAGTAGAGTATCTGGGGCACAGTGAAAAGGGGGAACAGATATCTCTCTCTCTCTCCCACCCCCCCGTGGTTTAGTTTATTCTACAGATAGTTATCCGCTCTGTGTTGTAGTTATGTCGGTAGAAACCCCTCCCCGGCTGCCTCTGTCCTCATCGCAGACAGGTCTACAGGTTTTGTGTGTGTGTACCAGCATGACTCCGCCTCCACTCTTTTATATTTGGAGACATGCAGGTGAAAAGAGAAACTGTTTGGAGGACACTTAGGTTGAGTGTTTAGCTGCACTTTGCCGGTAGTTGCGCTGAATCACCTCATAATTAAGAACACGCTTTAATATTCCAATATGTCAACTGTGTGGACATAAAGGCAAGTAGACCACAGCATTCTGACAACATTCAACACAACTAAATGTAAAACAGTTCATACTAAGACAAACAGTCGGACAGTAGAATAGTTTAATATCCTCGCTTCCATCTCCTGAGACTTTGCATAACAACTATCTTCCAACAGACATGGCTTAATTTCCTGCCATGCTCATAGATTACTTATGTTTTTACAATACAGTAAGCGTTACATGAAATATAAATTAATCCACCCATTAGTTATTTGTAGCATATCACCCTGTACAAAAGTTTTCCTCACTCAGATATAATCATGGCTTATCATCATTTGATAATATTAAAGCTGCCGGATGTTTCTTAAGCGCCGGCATCGCTCAAAAGACGTTTTAATAAGATCATTTGGACCTGATTTAAAAGTCAGTTTTTATTGAGCCCTTCATCACAAGTATATCTGAAAGAACTTTTCAGAGAAGGAGCGTACTTTGATCCTGCAAAAAATCAGCACACAATAAAATGATCCAGGACAAAATTCAACAAAGGGAATTAACCAAAGCGCTATATCCACAGTAGTACGTTTGAAAGACATAAATGGCCTAACGTTATCGTAAAATCCAACCTCATAGCCTTCCTTGCAATAAAAAAACGTAGACATTGAAGATAAGTATCTATCTGCAGAGCAGGTTCTGTTTTTATGAAAGTATGTCTCTGTGATGATGAATGAAAACAACAAACACATACTTCCACCTACAATAATGTCCTGCAGTAACAAAAGTGAAATACACCCTGAAGAGATCTCGTAATACTGTATCTGTGCTTTATGGTGTCTCACAAGGGTCTTCGTTAGTAGTATTATTACCTCCACCAGGAGATAATGGGATTGGTCTTTGGTGAGCGAGTGTGTGCGTGCATCTCCGTGTCTGTCCACGGCTACAGTCTTGCATTCTGCTGCTCCAAACTGCATAACATGTTGGGTGGCAAGTTGTGGCTGCATGCTCAAGGGCCTCTCGTGGTTACAGTGACTCACACTTTCTCAAAACACCTTTTATTGCCTGTTTGATGCTGCCATGATTGACTGCTGTCTACACACACACACAGCCCAGACACAGTGGGGGGTAAAACATTTTGGTTTGTACGGTGTGTGTGTGTTAGGCTATCTGCTAACAGCTAACGGAGCTAACAGCACACACACACACAGCTGGGTTTTTTTCACCACTGCTAACAGAACCACACACACTGGATTGTGTGTGGCCTTTGGCCGTGCTCTGCAACCAAAGACACATTTATCACATGCCTGTTTTTATTGGGCGTCAACCTCACGTTTACACTAGTATTGTCAACAAAAGAAAATAGACTTCAAGCCTAAACAAACGCTTCAAGTCAAGTTGACGGACCTAAGTCGTGTACCAGCACAGAGCCGGTGCAGACATCTGCATAGATAAGAGTGTATCCGTTGTGTGAGATGTGCGACTGAAACAAAATGTCTGATACACATGCACAACATGCAGTCTGTGATTTGTGATTTAAAAGGGTAACTGCTGCTCATGTTTTCTAAAGTCAAAGCCACACAGTTGAGACGAGGCCCATTCACGGTCTAAAGGTTATATTTGTTCAAAGAACTGTGCTGAAATAATTAACACCAGTGTGACTTATTTTCTGTTTGTGCAGGCTGAAAGTGATGTCAAGATCTTATCCTCAAAACGTTTCTACATAGTTTCTTTGTCAATACAAAGATTCTATATTGACTTTGGTATCAATACTCATAATGTTGTGGCTGAAAAATCAATCTCCAGAGGAAACAAACATCAGCTAGATAAGGAATATTGGGTGATCTTATTGGCGAGTTGAGTCGGATATCTTAGCACAGAGGGCTTATCTTACAACCATGCTGCACACAGTTTGCAATAATGTGCATTTGCATCAGTGCATTCAGACTGCTGAGTGCAGACAACTGTGATATTAGTCACAAGATTCAAGCATGTGGTTGTTCAACGGTTCAAGGGTTCAAACGTTCAAGGATGAAGGGTTGTCAGGTGAAAGGATTAAAGTTAGTATGGGTAGATTTAGTCATATTTAGTCCGTGTTTTAATATATATATAAACTCATCTGCAAAAATGAAATAAAAACTGTTCCTCATTGTTGGAGGAAGTACTCTACTTAAAGTTACTGTGAGGAACTTTTAACTGGTTATGAAGCTGTTTCTATTTCATACTGATGCCTCTATTCAAACTTCATAAGTAAACGAGACCATCGGCGAGAAGATTGTCTATTTCTACTTAGTTATTCTTAATTCATTTTCATCATGACATCATGCAGGTTCACCCGAAACTCCTACAGCTCAGACTCCACCGCAGACAGACACTTTGCTGCAGCCTTTGACCTGCAGTGGGAGTTTCTAAAAAGAAAAGTAGCAATGCAATGCAAATATACTCTGTACAGTACTGTATGCAACTGTTAAAGCTACCGACCTACATTCAACATTTAGGTCAAAGTTGCCAGCGAACTGTACTTAAAGTATTAAAGTAAACTTCTTGCATAATAGTCCCTTTCAGAGAGCTATATTTAAATACATATCATATTATTGGAATATTATTATGGATGCTTTAACATGTATTAAATATAATGAATTTATATTGTATGAATCTTGTACTTTTTTTGTCACATTTGAAACTCCAGCTGTCAATTAAGTGGAGTAAAAAGTACAATATTGGAGATAATATGACATCTAATGAAGCTTTTAATATATTATAGAAACAGTTCACACATAATGTTTATGCTCATGTTCCTGTTGGTTTGTGAATCTGTGGAGCAGCCATTCAGTCCACGTCCTGCTCTTGTTGCCTTCAGATTACTTTTCCTCACCTTGAAGACTTTCTACCTTCCGCTTTTTAAAGCCGAACAGAGACACACAAAGGTGACATTTCTTTGTTAAGCTCTCTTTGAGCTCGTATGAATGACGATATGAATGGTTGTATTAGCCTGCATTAATATGGTTTTAAATAGGGCATGAGCTCTATTGGGAACGACTTTAAGGAGGAACGAACAGTTAAAAGGAAAGAGGAACGACTCCCAGACTGACAGCCAGTGTTGAAGAAGAGGCAAGCAGCACAGTTAAAGAAATAAATAAACTTGAAAATGAAACAACCATCACGGATGTCATTATACTGCCAAATGTGTCTGTGGAAATGGGCATTCTTATCGTTCACTTAGCCAACAAATGATTTGATGTCTTTTTGCTCCACACAAACTATTTGCGTGAAATATACATTTGAGCTCTGCCATCATCGTGCATTATCATAAACTATAAACTGTATGAATATCTCGGAGCAAAAAGTGACTCAACGGTCATGGCAACAAAGAAAGAGCCTTCCTATAATAATAAAACCCTTGGCAAGCATGATTAGGATTTTAAGATACAGGGCCTGTCCGTAATAGTTCACAGACCTGTCAATCATCCGAATCCCCCTGACTCTTTGTTCACCCCTACAAGGCGACAGCATGAAGAAAGAGCATGTTGTATCTGCACAACAGAACAGACTGAACATTAAATTAATCTTCTTTTCAAAGTAAACACGCACAAGCAATTAAATTACTTTCTAAATACATATAAAAGGATTTATTATGAGATAGATGTTCCATTTTCTTAATCACAGGTTGCTTTCAAACATTACACAACAAATTCACAGAGAACAAGAACCTTTTTTTTGTAATTGTGTTGTATGTAATCGTCTTTAAATCTAACGAATACACCATCAGCACAGACTTAATATGTAAATTGCACCAACGTCAGCACAGAAGAATGCATTCATTTCCCAGCAGTTACCCTTCCCTCGACCTGCTGTTTACACTTGAGGCATATTATGGATGAGGGATTTCCAGCCGGCTCTCATTTTGCCAAAACACACATATAGACACAAAAAAACCCACCTGCAGGTTTACTAGACCATGATAGCCCCACCAGCGTTTTGGGGCTTTCATGTGATTGCACTTATCAATCTGACTCTTGATGTGTGAGCACAGAGCGAGAAAGAGAGCGGATTACAAATCAGCTGACTCCCCACATTTTCTTCCAAGTGACTTATTAGAAGAGTTACTCTGAGCGGACTGTTGGACCGCAGAGGGGGGGTTGGCTGAGTAAGACCCTCAACGGAGCCAATCTCCCCCTTTCTCACAATGGTAGATTACTTTAGACAACACTCCTCGGTTTCACTCATTAACAAGTGGAAAGACCCTTTCTGCTTCGCTCAAGGATCTTTCTTCTTCACCCACAATTCTTGTCACCTTCATATTTCAAAAATATTTGCCCTGTAATAGTTTTTGTTTGGTTCCCACAAGGCTACAGTAATTTGCAGGGTCATTGAAAAGCCTCAAAGAATGTTCCAGAAACTCATCACTCACCTGTTTTGCTTTTGGCTCTGCAGTGTTTGTCTGCTTACCTTGTCACTTGTTCTGTCGAGCTGATAATAGAACAGCAAGAAGGAGGATTTCCTTTCAGCACAGCTGCTGGTTTCAGAGTACTGTTCCTGTTTGTGTCTGCCCCCAATTATCTGTTCTCGCTGCTCAGCACAAATAAGGGTTACCAAGACCTACCATCATCACTGGTGCATGCTCATACTGAACTAGATCAACAAGCCACAGCTCTGTGAAAACATCCTCTTTAGTGTTACAAAACTAAATCCCCTAATACTTACAAAACATTATTGAAAAAGCAAATTGGAACATGTACTTTCATCTTGTCATATTTACATGCATCTCAGTGTAAATTAAACCCATCCAAGTCTTTGCTGAGGCAAGTTAGCTGATAATTCGCCAATTACACTGCATAATTATTCCAC